GCAGGATGAAACCCAAAGCTTAAAAGAACATGATTAATGAAACACCAAGAGATGCGGGGCGAAGTCTTTAGTAATGTCGAATTTTAAAATGATATTATTCTCGTGTGTCTTCTTATTAATGTAATTAACCAATTTCCTAAGGACAAGAATACTATCCGAGATCTCTTTGCCTTTTTGAAAAGCAGATTGTTCCTCAGAGATGATTTTGGGAAGAAGATAGGTCATCCTATTAGTGAGGATTTTAGTAAAAATCTTGCTTAAGAAATTACTAAGACTTATAAGTCTAAATTTGGAAAACTTGTAGGCATTAGGTTCTTTGGGTATAAGGGCAATTAAAGTATGACCAATGCTTTTAGGGATGGGGACCCCACAAAAAAACTCACGCACAACATTAAGAAGACCATTCTCAATAATCTAAAAAACACATTGGTAAAAAACACCATCAAAGCCGTCAATTCCAGGGGCACTGTTTTTGGGCGAGGCTAAGGACTTCTTTGAGCTCATCTTTAGAAATAGACCTCATTAAGATTAAGTTGAGGTTATCTTCCTCATAGATAACCTTGGTAATATTCTGGAGGTAACCTCTTGGGTCCAGGGAGTTTGTTTCATCATCAACATTGAGCAAATTAGAGTAGTAGGCCACAACAGAATTACAAATATCATCATCACTATCAATCCAAATGCCACTATCAAGCTTAATTCTAGAGATACTAAGCCTATTGTGTTTGACCTTTAAGGAGACATGAAAATATTTTGTATTTGCATCTCCCTCCTTTAGCCAATTAATTTTAGCCTTTTGCCGATAGTAAGTGTTTATATGGGCCGAGTATTGAATGTATTTAGCATGGGCCTCTTCATGAAGGAGGTGGTCACTCTAGACAGGAATCAGAGAGCTGCTTTTCAAGAATAGCTATTTTAGTTTCAGCTTCAGATAATTTGTTTAAAATATTTTCAAAAATGTTTTGATTCCAGTCCTTTAAATCAGTTTTTAAGCGTTTTAGTTTAGCAGAAAACTTCCACATGCCATACCCATATCTGGTTTTGTCCCAGGAAGCCTTGACAGTTTCAAGGAAAGATTTGTGATGGATCCATATATGTTGAAACTTAAAGAGCGCATTAAAAAGGAGAAGAACATTGGGCATTAACTACTATAACATTCCAGACGACTTCCGGACTAAGCAGTTCTGCTGCGGAGAAGAGGCGTTCTGTCCAAGCAGTTTTGTCCGTCCAAACAGTTCTGGTTTTGTGAACGTTATGATCAGAAACACATGTATTAATTTTTTTAAGGTTTAAGTTCCAGTTAAGATCATGAAATTCAGTAGAACCCATGACCCTTTCCAACTTTTTTCTGAACAAGCCCATGCATCCTTTTCCCAATCCAAGTGTAAGGGGTACCAGGAAAATTAAACTTAGTCAAACTATTGGCATAAATAAAGGTATTGAAAGCATCCATATCTAACTTACAGGGCATACTCTTGCCTTTGTATTCCAGCGTGAGGGAGATCACATTGAAATCACCCTTAAGTAGTCAGGGTTTATCCTCAATGCCATCCTTAAAATCAGTAAGATCGGTCCAAAGAGCTCTTCTAGTAGCTCTGTCATTGCCACCATAGATAACAAAAACATAAATAGGGGAGACCATGCTATTAGAAGTAACAGAGAAGTTAATACACTGGTTGAGATCAGAAATAACAGTGACCGTGAGGTCATTTTGCCAAAAAAATCCAAATTTTGTTAATAGAGTGAGGGTACTCATTATCAAAACCAAAAGTCATCATTTTATTGTTCAAATTGTTGTTATCCATCTTAGGCTCAATGAGAGCCATAAAATTGACTTTATTTTTTTTTGAAAAGAAGGTTTAACCGATCAGAAGATTGGGTATTCCCGATCCCACAAACATTCCAGAATAGTAAACATTCCAGAATAGGAAACTAATCATTAAGAATAGGAGTTTGGGCAGATTTCTTGGGCCTTAAGGTGTAACGGGGGAGGGGAAATGGGTAGGGTCGAGGTAAGGGGTACGAGCACGGGGGACAAGTAAGGGGTGAGGGCGGGGTAAGGGGTATGGTCGGGTAGGGTGGTAAGGAGCTAGGGGCCGGGCAGGGGTAAGGGATGGGTGAGGGAAGGGTTAAGGGGTTAGGGTTATGGTAGGGGTAACAATAAGGGGCAATAAGGGGCAAGGGCAAGGGATAAGAGTAAATGATAAATTGGAAGATTGAAAAAGTTTAAAGTGCCACTAATTAATATATTGGAGGGTGGTATGCTTAGTAAGCGACACTTTAAACATCTCTTTCGGTTAGTAAGCGGCTTTTTAAACAGCTTGCGTGTTTACTTTGCCTGTCTTACTAACCTAACAATGACTTTAGCAGCGAAGTAAACCTATCCTAAGATCAAGAGGAACAGTTTTGATCATAGAAAAACAATTAAAATACCCCAAACTTTGAAGGGTTGTGAGGTAAGCGCTCCAAATTTGCAAATTTAATTTAAATACCCCAAACTTTATATACAAAGTTATTTTAGCTCAATCATGATCATGGATTATATCTTTTAAAAATGTTATTTTTTGTGTTAATTTCTTAATTTAAAATATTTTAGCATTCATGAAGATACATGTAACATTCTAAACTTCCGTTGTAAAATAAAGAGTATTGCCCTCTGATGGGGGTTATGGGACTAGGCCCACAGTCTAATCGACCTAGGCCCCGAGCTTGGACCACCAAGCCCAAGCTCAGGACCATTATCTTAGCAGGACAACCTGACAAGTGGGCCCAGCAACCTCGAGCTCGAGCGTGCCCAACCGATCATGCCCATCAAGGAGTGGAAGTCCAACGGAGCGAAAGCCCAAGGCAGCCTCCCTACCATCTCGACTGGGAGCGTGCCTCCAATCTATCGAGGAGCCTACCTTCCAACCCAGTGGGAGCCTCCCGCCCAACGAGCTCGAGCGTCAGGCCTGCCAGCCAGGCCGACATGCCAACTAGGAAGAGTAACGGCCAACAGTTAATGCACTTAATTATGTATTTAATTCCGTATCAATGTTGTAATTAAAAAGTCATTATTTTAGTTGACAGCTACCATTTGTATACGTCTATAAAAGGCAAGTTGTAGTTCAAATACAAGCACACAATTTCTGGCTATCAAACTCCTAGCAACTTTCCTTATTCGTATTATTTTCTTGATTCCTGCTTGAGTTTCTAGCGTACGGGTGGATTGATTACTAGTCAATCCACCTGTGCGTTGCACGGAGAACAAATGAAATCAGTTTATTTTTACAAATAATTTATTTCATGAGTAATGTGTATATACATACTTATTGTATAAAAATAAAAACATGATATGGAATTATATTATAATACATGTATAATAATTGTTAGAGATACACCAATTAGTATAAAACTACCAAATAAGTATTCTTTCATCCCGACATATATTGTCTAATGAAGATGATAACAATTGCTATCATATTACAATCTCATATGTAGTACGGAGTATTATTCAGTTGTGATGATTATTCAACACATGACATTACTTTTTATTATCTTGTTGTGTTTTAATGTTTCTAAATATATTCCATCTAAAAAGTGAAAATATTTATTTTATACTCCGTAATATTTCTTCATTCATCTCAATATATGTTTTATAAAAGCTACAGATCAAGATTATTAAAATCACTATATGTTTTATAAGAACTATATATCAATGTTGTTAAAATCGCGAGTTGAATCATAAAATTGTATAATTCAATATCCTTGAACCAATTTGACTCATAAACAAAATTGGAAATGCTAAAAATCATTTCAAAATCAGGAAACATTATTAAAAATGTGATTTCAACGATGTTTAAAATAGTTACTTGTTTACTAATGAATAGTTATAGTAGAATTCAATAAATGAATTTTTGTATTTTATGTTCTAGCTAATTATAAAAAAAATTACTCCCTCATCTCGTTAAAATGTGCTAACTATATTTTTTCAACTGCCCCAACAAAAATTGTCATTTCCATTTAAACTAATAAATGTGTGGGTAAATTATTTTTCTCCACTGATTTGTAAATATCTCAATCACATACAAAGTAATTTTTGCTTTATTTATATTCCACATGCAAGTCAATTCTGGACACAGTACATTTAATAGGGGTACTAAGTATTATCATTTTCCTTTACATAATATTTGTATCCAAATATAATCTAGTTCTCTATTTTATATTCTGAAATTAGAACATTTCATTTTTAACTTTATTAGATTATATCTCTTAATTAATTATGTATATGTGTCTTTTAATATTTTTTAATATTTTTTTAATGTTTAATGTATTTATGCTCAATATAATTTTCTAGAGTTTTATTTATAACTTACAACAATTAATTAGGTTGACACTTAATATGGCTTCATTAAGTAATGCTTCAATAATAGTGACAACAATTTTCTAAAGTTTTATTTATAACTTACAACAATTAATTAGGTTGGCACTTAATATGGCTTCATTAAGTAATGTTTCATTAATAGTGACCACGATTTTTCACTTCTTTTGGCTCCAAATAGATTTCTATTTGGATCTCCACCATGTTCTCTTTGTATATATAAAGATTCCTGCTTGAGTGTCTAGCGTAGCTTTCCTAAAGCCTATGAGCATCTTATTTTGGACCAACACCCCCCACTCAATATAATTGCAACGTTCTTAATTTGCTTTTTTTAAAGTTCAAAAGTATCTCTCAAATTGTATAATAACTCTTGTTGGAATGTACATCTTCTCCCTTCACAGATGTCTTATTCTCACATGTAAACATATTATTAGATTCAGTAGACTCTTAAAACTCATCCACCCTTATTATCATTTTCCTTCAATGTTTACCTTTTGACATGCTATCAACCGGACAGATCTTGTTCTGCTTACACCAAGTGCTCAATTTAAATCTTGGAGCTTAGATTTCTCAACTCATGACGAATTCCACAAATTTCCCACCTCTTTATTGCAAAACTATTATTCCCAATAAATATTTGAAAAACGTCCCATCTTCTAGACAAATAATAATCATTTCTCTCGGGACCAAGCACCAGTCCTCCCGCCACTTTTCCGTTCAAGCTTTACATTTGTAATCTGGATGTCTTTTGAAGCTGCTTTGCACATGTCATATACCGTCAGGCCAGCCACAGTCACTGCCGTCAAGGCCTCCATCTCCACTCTGGTCTGTCCGCATGTGGCCACTTCCCCTTCTATCTCAACACTCGAATCTTCAGGGTTCAAAGTCAAACCCACTCAGACATGCGTCAAGTTAATATTGTGGCACAGTGGGAATGAATCTGCTTGTCTCCTTTGCCCCGCTGATTCCAGCTATCATAGCCACACCAAGAATGTCTCCTTTCCCCATCTCGTTGGCTGAAACAAGGTCGAACACTTTCCTTCCCAAAATGACCTTGCAGCTAGCAACTGCCACTCTATTGCTATCCTCTTTACTGGATACGTCTACCATTCGACTAGCTAGCTGGGGGGTCACCAAATATGGATTCCATTTCCTTGTTAAGTTCGGCAATAGCATTGGAAATATCATGGTCACTAGCATTGCAAAAGAACCCGGTTGGTTGAGGCAACTTTGTAGCAACCCGGCGAAGAAACATTGTGAGACTGGCGTAGAGTGCTTCACCTCATCCTAAGTAAAATGATGAAAAATAACTCCTAGTTGCTCTCTCTTCCCTCTCCAGGTGTCCGACGGCGACAACCACTGTGAGTGGCGGCACGACGTTCTTAATTTGCTATATTAAATTATGCACATAACATCATAAATTAAAGTTAACATTTTTTTAAAGAAATAATACATGACCATGATGTTAAAATAATTTTTCATATAAAGTTTGTGGTATTTAAATTACATATGAACGATTAGGGTGTTTATCTCATACTTTTTCAAAGTTTGGAGTATTTTAATTATTTTTCCCTTCTGATCACGAAGAGATGATCATATTTATTAGATCACCTTTAAATAAATCAGATCAAATTTCTACACTTTTGGAATACACATAAAATAGACATTGATCAGACTAGTTTAGATTAGGCCAATTTTAACATATCAAACCAGACCAGCATAGAGTTAGCTAATCCATAAAATTTCAATCAAATTAAAAAAATACTATTCTCAAGCCTAGGACTTGTTAGAAAAGGCAGCCTCAGGGGAGCAAGGTGGCGGGGTCCCAGGCCCAAAAAATGGAAAAAGAATTTAGCATGTGTTTAGTTTTTTATAATTTGTGTGAGTAGACTAGTTTATGAATTAATAAATTTTCAAGTGGAATTTTTTATTGTGCTTTCGAATGAATTTGTTTATGGAAATTTATGAGCATGATGTATATGAAGTGTAATTATGTCCATACAAATTCAGTTCAAAATTCAATCTATAAGTCAATTAAAGAAGAAGTAATTTGAGTTTGCACCACATTTTATTGTCCAAATTAGACTTTGTGCCCTGTTTTTAAAAAACTTTGTTTTTGCACCCTAACCCCGTATACAACAACAACATCCAAGCCTTAATCCCAAAAGCTGTTGGGGTCGACTAACGTGAATCAATCCATGATATCGATGTAAAAAAAGAGAAGACATACAAGAAGAAGAAAAAGATAAAATGAAATATATAAAGATAAATAAATAAATATACGATAACAACAACATAAGAATATAAGAAAGACAAAAGATAAAAAGATAAAAGAGCATAAAAAATCTAGAAGATAAAGATATACTATTTTCACCTTCATTGAGTTGTACTTAAATTGAAAACCATGGAGAAACATTGCATGTATTTTTGTCCAAGTATGCAATATTTTAGGCGATGAACTGAGGATGACATAAACTTTTATGTTCCTACTATGACACTCACTTGAAAGGGATATTTTTTTGGTACAAATTGATTTGTCTTTCTCACTAGATCTTCTGTTCTATGATTCAGGGGAATCCTCAGCTGTGGAAGTAAACAATCTTCGTACACTCCATTTGCATGGGTTCCTCCACATTGACCCCATATGCTGGTGGCTGCAGTAGCATAATATGCCATCGAAGTGCTAGCGTTTCCTCTAACACGAGAATGGTAGTCCACATTTACCACCCACAGTGATATAATGACATATGGCTCAACGAGGTTCCAATTTAATTGAGTCCTTCATCAGCCTCTAGTGCATTGTCTTCAAACCAAGCATCATTGACAATTTGACACCCTTATGCATACAAAGTGTTGAGACAAGGCCACTGTATTATTTCAGTGCCGGAATTATTTCTGAACGCTAAGAATGATCTTTCTGGGGGTTCTCCTTCTATTGGTTCTGATAATGATGATCCTTGGAAGAAAAGTGAGACACAAGGTGTTGTTTCTATTTTTCTTAAGCGCACATATTTTTGTTGCAAATTGTACATTAATCATTTTGTTTTAGAAATATTGCTTACATAATGGTTATATTGTTACAGGTCAAAGCTCAAAAATCTCATGGTTGTCCTAGCTCACCATTTGGAAACTCTCACTGTGAGTGTCTCACATGACACGGGCAATGTGCATGGATCTAATTCTAGTTTGTATTATACTTTTTCTCCTTCATTAAGTTGTACTTAAATTGAAAACCATGGAGGAAAATTTCATGTATTTTTGTCCCAGTATGCAATATTTTAGGCAATGAACTCAGGATAATTTTTTGGGTGCAGATTGATTTTTCTTTCTCATTAGGTCTTATGTTCTATGATTCAAGGTAATCCTCAACCGTGAAAGTAAACAATCTTCGTGCACTCCATTTGCATGGATTCCTCCGCATTGACCCCATATGTCGGTGGCTGCAATAGCATAACATGCAATCGAAGTGCTAGAGTTTCCTTTCATAACATGGATTATACCATCCGTAGTGATGCAATGTCATATGGCTGCACGGGGTTCCAATTTCAGTCCTTCATCACCCTCTCGTGCATTGTCTTCAAACCAAACATCATTGACAATTTGACACGCTAATGCCCACAAAGTGCTGAGACAAGGCCACTGTATTATTTCAGTGTCAGAATTATTTCTGCACGCTAAGAATGATCTTTCTGGGGGTTATCCTACTATTGGTTCTGATAATGATGATCCTTGGAAGAAAAGTGAGGCCCAAGGTTTTTTTATTTTTCATTAGTGCACATATTTTGCTGCAAATTGTACATTAATCATTTCGTTTTAGAAATATTGCTTACATAATGGTTATTTTTTTTATAGGTCAAAGCTCAAAACTCTCATGGTTGTCCTAGCTCACAAGTTGGAAACTCTCACTGTGAGTGTCTCACATGACACGGGCAATGTCCAAGTATGCAATATTTTAGGAGATGAAGTGAGGATGACATTAACTTTTATGTTTCTAATATAACACCCACTTGAAAGGGATAATTTTTTTTGTGTGTAGATTGATTTCTCTTTCTCACTAGATCTTCTGTTATATGATTCAAGGGAATCCCCAGCTGTGGAAGTAAACAATCTTCGTGCACTCCATTTGCATGGATTCCTCCACATTGACCCCATATGTCGGTGTCTGCTGTAGCCTAATATGCCATCGAAGTGCTAGAGTTTCTTCTGACAGGGGAGTGGTAGTCCACATCTACCATCCGTAGTGATACAATGTCATATGGCCATACGAGGTTCCAATTTCAGTCCTTCATCAGCCTCTCGTGCATTGTCTTCAAACCAAGCATCATTGACAATTTGACACCCTTATGCCTACAAAGTTCTGAGACAAGGCCACTGTATTGTTTCAGTGTCGGAAATATTTTTGAATGCTAAGAATGATCTTTCTGGGGGTTATCCTTCTATTGGTTTTAATAAGGATGATCCTTGAAAGAAAAGTGAGGCCCAATGTGTTTTTTTGTATTTTTCTTAAGTGCGCATAATTTTGCTGCAAATTGTGCATTAATCATTTCACTTTAGAAATATTGCTTACATAATGGTTATATTTTGTTATAGGTCAAAGCTCAAAGCTCTCATGGTTGTCCTATCTCACCATTTGGAAAATCTCACTGTGAGTGTCTCACATGCCACGTGCAATGTGCATGGATCCAATTCTGGTTTGTATTGTACTTTTTTCTCCTTCATTAAATGTACTTATATTGAAAACCATGGAGAAAAAATGTGTGTACTTATGTCAAAGTATGCAATATTTTAGGTGATGAACTGAGGATTATGACATTCACTTTTATGTTCCTACTATGCACTCACTTGAGAGGGATAGTTTTTTTGTCCAGATTGATTTGTCTTTCTCACTAGATCTTGTGTTCTATGATTCAGGGGAATCCTCAGCTATGACAGTAAACAATCTTCATGCATTCCATTTGCATGGATTCCTCCACATTGACCCCATATGTCGGTGGCTGCAGTAGCATAATATGCCATCGAAGTGCTAGCGTTTCGTCCGACAGGGGAGTGGTATTCCACATCTATAATTCGTAGTGATTTAGTGACATGTGGCTTCACGAGTTTCCAATTCCAGTCCTTCACCAGCCTCTCGTGCATTGTTTTCAAACCAAGCATCATTGACAATTTGACACCCTTATGCCTACAAAGTGTTGAGACAAGGCCATTGTATTATTTCAGTGCTGGAATTATATCTGAACGCTAAGAATGATCTTTCTCGGGGTTATTCTTCTATTGGTTCTGATAATGGTGATCCTTAGAAGAAAAGTGAGGCCTAAAGTGTTGTTTGTATTTTTCTTATGTGTACATATTTTTGCTGCAAATTGTAAACTAATCATTTTGTTTTAGAAATATTGCTTACATAATGGTTATTTTGTTATTGGTCAAAACTCAAAGCTCTCATGGTTGTCCTAGCTCACCATTTGGAAACTCTCACTGTGAGTGCCTCACATGACAAGCGCAATGTGCATGTCTCTAATTATGGGTTGTATTATACTTTTTTCTCCTTCATTAAGTTGTACTTAAATTGAAAACCATGGAGAAAAATTGCATGTATTTCTGTCCAAGTATGCAATATTTTAGGTGATGAACTAAGGATAACATTAACTTCATGTTCCTAAAATGACACTCACTTGAAAGGGATGATTTTTTTGGTCCAGATTGATTTGTCTTACTCACTAGATCTTCTGTTCTATGATTCAGGGGAATCCTCAGGTGTGGAAGCAAACAATCTTCGTGTACTCCATTTGCATGGATTCCTCCACATGACCCCATATGCCGGTGGCTGCAGTAGCATAATATGCCATCGAAGTGCTAGCGTTTCCTCTAACAGGAAAGTGGTAGTCCACATCTACCATCCATAGTGATAGAATGACATATGGATGCACGAGGTTCTAATTCCAGTCTTTCATCAGCCTCTCGTGCATTGTCTTCAAACCAAGCATCATTGACAATTTGGAGGCATCATAAGAGGCATCTCAATGGAATTGAGTCTGTGTTTTCTATCAGTCACCTAAGAGGCATCATAAGAGGCATCTCAATGGAACTTCAAAGAATCAAATGTCTTTTTTATTATTCAAAGCTATTATTTAGTTTGCTCACTGACCTTTCTTTGTACTTGGTTTCGAAGCTGAGTGCCACCCTCCATGGAAACAGCTACTTAAGGAACTGGGGGTTATATGATTTTGATGTTACTTTTTTTATAACTTTACCAAGGTTAGCAGCAGCCCCATGGCTACTTGTTTAATTTCTTCAAACAAGGTTAAATTAAAATGAGGCAAATTGGGAAGATAATAGGTTGTTACTGAGGGTAACAACC